TTTGGTTTTAGAAGGAGGTATTATAATATTATATAGTTTATCGAGAAAGGACACATTATATTCACCGCAGAATGTTGCTATACGTGACGTGTATTTCATGAATCTTGAGAATTTAGGGTGGAAGGAGAGATAGAGTGAGAGAGAAAGGAAGATAAAGAGAAAGAGAAGATCCATACCAATTATTGGTAGGCGAAAAAATTTTCGACAGATAACGACGCACAAAAAATGTAATAAAATCGTGAGAAAAAAAATTCTTCTTCGCGTATATAACGAAATAAGATAAAATTCTTGCTCTTTTCTTCATTCCTTCTTTTTATACATAAAAAGCGTAAACAGCAGTGCAAAAAAGTAGAGAAATACTTTTAACACTCAATTATATTTTTCTCTTATCAATTTTTACGCAATGCTGTATTATTTTTCTCTTTATTTTCTTAACAAAAAGGAAATACAAACATTAAATTTTTTTAAAATTATTGTTATCAATGTATGATTGCATAAAATTATTGTCATTAAATATTTGATTTGACGAACGATAATAATTTCAAACAGATGATGTAAATTAGGAAAAAAATTGATAATATAAGTTTTGATAAAGTTAATTTTTGTGATTTTAATTGGAATCAATATTTAATAATATGTAATACACTGTAAAAAATTTAGGGAGTTAACGGACTCGGGAGTTGTGAGTGAAATTTTTCGAGTTAAAAATCAACTCCAAAAGAGAGTTAATTTCTAACTCCCTTCATTCAACACCCGCGCGAGTTATTTTTTCCTTGGGGAGTTAGCATTTGGGTGTAAAATTTTATCTCTCTTTATTTAACTCCCCTGCCATTAACTCCCCAATGGGTGCGACTTTTATAGACCCCCGGGGGAGTTAAAATTTAACTCCCTTTTTTACAGTGTACACTTATTACTCTCCAAATTTGAATTAGTAAAAATCTAAAAATGTTTACTAATTTTAATTAGTGACTGACTTTTAGCTTTTAAATAAGTAAATTTTACTAATTTTACTTAATAATAATAAATAAGAAAAATGTTTATTATTAACAATATAATTATTTACCGTGTATAACAATTGCAACAAAACGCAACTTAATGTCAACAAGCCACTGACTCTTATACTCTGTGTACTTTATCTCGTTTGCGAGTGAGTTTTCTTGCCATCTGGACGGACAGTTGGAAAACTATTATGGCGCGAAATTCAAATTAGGTGAAAGAAAAAAATGAACTAATTATAGTTTTAGTACTAAAGTTTGGGTTTTTTTTACTACATTGGCAGTACCTTGGGCCAATATTGGCGAAGGGAATATCAGCCCAATAAAGGAAAATTATTTCCATAACATTGACCACTTTTAAGCGAATAATAATTATTATATTGTCATTATTATTATTATAATTATCAATGCTACCATAATTTTTATGAATGTTATACTATTATTAAAAGAACGAGTTGTAAATTACTAAGAATCAAGAATTTTTAGTCATAAATGTCATCTAAAAGTTTGGCTTACATGTGCGGGGTTGTATTACGATATCATTGTGTTCAAAATTACGTGAATTGCTGCACAGATTAATTGCACCTCGAAACGCGCGTATCAAGCAAGTTTATAGTGTGACGCGCCAAACTATACACATCTGTTTTAATGACGCTGCACTCACACATACATAAATACGTTCAAAGATATCTCTTTTCCTCGGGGCATCGCTGCAAAGCGGAATTTTTACGACGAAAGTAAAACGAAACGGTCCATAAACCACGTGCGGGCAATTCTACCCCTTTTCGGCATCGTTCCGGAATCGCGTAAAGTTTGTAACAAACTTTCCCGTTCGCCTTCTCATCGCACCAAGGCAAAACAAAAACAAAAAAGAAATGGTACTTGCTATAAATGCAATGCACTTTCCATTCTTTGAAAAAAATAAAATAAAAGAAATTTCTTCTCTATTTTTACAAAAATGACAAGTTTTAATATATTTTATTATGTTTTTCTCGGTTCGGCTTGTGTGTTATTGGCATAGGTATTTATATAAATAAGCTTTCTTAAAAGTTATGATGATGCTGAGAGAGACGACAAGAATAGATAAAGTGGAACACACGAATTAAGATATAAATGTGATAATAAAAATTTTTTTGTTTTTAAAAAGTCGGTTAGAGTTAAATACGTTGTTCCGCTTTTAGGGCTATATTTATTTTTATGGGCGTTATTAAAGATGTCAATTATTCCTGATTATTTTTTTTTTCTCTTTTTATTATTATTGTTACTATCTTTAGAGTGAGAAAATTACCAAGAGTGGCAATTGGCTAAACATTCCGCTGAAACTTAGCCCAACGCGATTCAATTGTCAATATTTTTCCATCTTAGATCAATGATGTGGACGAGAAAAATTTCAATTTAAGTTTTGAACATGGGACAATTTCAACCGAAATTTTTGTGGTTTCAGATTACAATTTGAGCAAAAATATCAACAGGGGCGAACGATATTTAAATTCCAACCTTGGCATTGAATGTCGTACTATTTCGACAAAAATTTTTGCCTTCTTGGCTCAACATTGACAAATTGAATGTATTTTAAATCTCTGTATCCAACATAAGACAATTTCGACTAATATTTCACCGTCTTCGACCAATATTGTCCATAAATATTTAAACTCGAGTCTTGCAATTGAACGTGGGGCAATTTCAACCAAAATGTTTGATAAATTAAAGGTCAATGACGGCAAAAATGTTTTTATTCGTTCTTTTGAATTAAGACCATAAAACCCAGTTAAAAAATCAGACACGAAAGAAGAGAAGAATTTTTTTATTTCGTAAACAAATTAAATCAATTATATTGTTATGTGCAATGTTGAAATCTCGAGGAAGTTTAATGGCCTTTAAAAAAGAGAAAGAGAAGGAGAGTAAAGACACTTTGATCTGCAAGCGTCGATGGGCACAGTTTACAACCAAGTTTTGCGCTATTTATAAAATTGAAATTCACTGCCGTTGCCGCAGCGCTCTTGGGATATAAATATAATGAGCGGTTATATTTCGCACATTTGCACGTGTACGACCCGCACCTGGCACGATTCGTCAGAAAACGACATTTCATGAGTCTGACGCACTCGACGCAATTCCAACATATGTATATACCTCGAAAGAGAGAACAAGAGAGAGAGAGAGAGAGAGAGAGAGAGAGAGAGAGAGAGAGAGAGAGAGAGAGAGAGAGACAGAGAGAGAGAGACAGAGACAGAGACCACATAGATGCGCTTCCGGTAAAATTCATCCTTAAATTACAATTTACATTCACATTGCATTTATTTACGCTTGCTTTAAAAGTAATTTAATACTTACAATTTTTCACTCCTTGTCATAAAAACTAAGAAAGAGAAAATTACTTTTTAAAAAATGGGAAGTAGCATTTTTTCATCAAGAAAAGTATAATGTAACAGAGTTATACTTTTTAATAAACAAAACTTTTCTTATATAACATTTTTCCGACATACACTTTATTAAGTGGGAAATAAAAATTTCTATGCTACATTTCTATACTTTTCGTGTCTTTCTAAATCTAAACCTTTCCAAAAATAAATGCAGAAATTCCCCTATTTCGACCCACTTGAAGTGGGGTTTTAGCAAGGGCCCAAACAGTTTTTCTAGTTTATGCCCTATTTTGTATGTAATGTTTTTTATTTCTTGCAAATATGTATGTTGTAAACATCTACGACTATTTTATAATTCAAACGCAATATTACGTGAGGAAGAATTTTAACATTTGACGATATCTCTCGTCTAAAGTCGTAATTATTAACTCGAAGTGACTCACTGGGTTTGAGGACCTTTATGATCCAGTTTAATGGGTCCATATACACCAGTCGTGCTTACGTGTTTTATGTACTATATGTATGTATGTATTTATACAAAAGTGTGTACAATGTGCAACGCTCGATGTGTAATGTAAAGTGAGCGCACCTCTTTGCGCTTTATTATTACGCATTCACACGCGACCCGCAGGGGAAGAATTTTCTGCTCAAGAGAGAAAGCCACTACTCAAAGGGTTAGAGACGACAGACAGGCTTTTCTCACGAATGTATATTAAAAAAAAGACTATATTCATGTTCGTGTACCTATCACCTTTTTTACTTTTACGGTTATGCTCTTTAAACATGAATGAATTCAATTTCAATTTTTTTCACTCCAATACCGTTTTTCATTATTATATATATTGTATTCAAAATTGGAGAAAATTTTTATTGCAGTAAGGTTTAAAAATAAGTAAAAGTGATCTTAATTTAAGGACACATTTGATTTAAGTATTGGTCTACTGTTATAATCAAAACAAGTTCATGTTAATTAAAATATCTCGTTTATAAAAATATATAATAAATACCTACAAAATTATTAAGTAATTAAATAGAATAATTAATATCACTAGAGTGATTAAAAATCGAAATTAATTCTAATTTATAAACTCAATTATCTGATAAATTGTTAAAAAAGTGATATAATAAACCATAGAAATAATAAATACAAAATAATTATCATTTTCATAAAAAAGTATAGGTATCATATATAGTTTTTCTATAAATAGCCGTAAGTTAAAGGCAATTAGGTTCACTTAATTAATTTCGAATGGTTAGAAAAAATGAAATGTGGGTTTAATTGATGAATACAGATGAGACGTGAGATCGTTTAATCGGATTTAAAAATATATCGGTCAGTCTGGAATAAAAAAGTATTTTCACAATGTGATGTGGCGACTTTCCCGAGAATTTAATTTAATTAGTTAAATAGTAAAATAAAACGTGGGTAGGACTCGAGAACGAAGCTCACAAAAGGAGAAGAGATTTTCCACCGCAGAAGAATCACACGCTCTACGAGTGTAAGTCGCCATGCAGAGACGAATAGGCAGAGAAGATAGATCGGACTTACCAATCGTTGAATTGTCGATGAAATTGATAATCAACCAATCGATGGAAACAAATTAATCCCAAGATAGGCTGGTAAATCACTAAGAAAACAGTATTAACAAAAAGAACACAATTTATTTACTTAATATTGGTCGAAAGTAACACTGTATTGTAACGCGTTTTTGGCGGAGAAATTCTCGTGTCGCAGCACGATGTTCGCTCAAGCTCGCCGCAATCTTTTCTCTGGCGTTTCTTTTCAGCGGCAATCCGGCGTCGTCGAACATGAGGTTCGTGTCGTCTGCTAGTGACGCGTACACCATCTACAACTTCTGACGCGCGGGATATTTAAAAATAACAAATAGTAGTAATAATAATATAGATGACAAAGAGTAAGGACAAGTTAAACAAAACAAAATTAACTTTGGGAAACGCGTAATATTTTACCGTTACATTCCCCCTAACTAAATTGTAGTTACTCTTTGTTATCGAGCCCGATCAATCGTCCGGCATCTATTCGTCTGAAAGTATTTAAAGTAAGGTAATAATATTTCAATAATAAAAAAAGTTTAAAAAAAAATAGCGACTTACACTCAAAAAAATTTTTTCTTTTTTTTTTGATTAATGATAACTAAAGTAATCTCATCTAACTTCCTATAAGCATACACACAACATACTGTAATTTATTAATTATAGGAGCGACTATGTAGTTTTAGCAATGCTTTCGTGGAGTAAATAAAACTGAGATGAACGCGTGATAAAAGGATAAGACTAAATAAACATATATATATTTTTTTTTTTTGGAAACACTTTGGTAAAAAAGAAAACTGCTTTTTGTAACTAGTATAATGTTTTGAAATAACGCGGCACTAAAGGTTCGGCGGGGAACTGCTCTCCTCTTTGGAAGCCCCTGTTGGTGCAGTTTCGGTTTCTTCTTTTTCCTTGACGTTTGACTGATTGCTCATAACGAGGTGATTGAGCTGGGTGGATACCGATTCCATGTCGTCTTCAGAAGAGCTACCGGTTGTTGATACTATTTCTACTGTTGGGCCTAATGGTCTTATGGTATTAAGTCCAGAAGGTCCTGGCGGTCGCGCTGAACGCGTTTGAGACAATCCTGAGGGTCTGATATTAGTTGCTACAAATGGTTGGTGGTTGTAGTCGGCTTCGATTTCTAAAGCAACCTTTCTTCGCATAGTAATTGCCTTTTCCACCAATTGCTTTCGGCACAGTGAACAATGAGGGTCCGGCATGTTTCTCGGTGACCTGCATCTTCTACACTTGAGGTGTTCTGGCAAACTGGGTTCGGCATTGGCGAAGTGCGGCCAGGGGCACTCGCGCGTGGAGAAGTCGGTGCAATTACATTCTTGGCAAAATTTACCGTTGTACTCTTTTGGGCAAGTATAGTGTGGGTGTCCTCTCCCGCCGCAGTTGAGGCAACCAGGAGGTGGTTTGGGCCTTAGGGCTGGTTCTCGAAGCTGGGCCTGAGCGTGGTAGACCTCGCTTAATTTCTGAGTGAAGTAATTTTTATAGCGATTACTCAGCTTGGCCAATGGTTGGATTTTTTTGTGATCGGCGAGTAGGTTGTCCCAATCGTAATTAAACGCGGTAAGTTCCGTTTGGAGTTCTTCGACTTTTTCTTGAGATTTCTGTAGTTTAACTTGAGTGGCTTCCAGTTTCTCGTACATGTTCTGACGCTCTTTAGATTGCTCTAGAAGTGCTTGTACAAGTCCTTCGTTAGAAGTGTTACTCCTGGAAGGCGTTGACAGTAACGCGTTATATTCCTTTTGAAGGTTATCCGCGTGTTGGAGGGCCTCTTTGAGTCGCGTGTTAGTAGACTCAAGGGATGAGAGTATTCCTTCTAGTTCTTCTTTTCGGAGAAGGACAAGTCCGGAGGCTTCTTCTGTTAAGACTGGAATCGTGTCGTTGGGACTGGAGTCAGCTGACGTCAGTTGAAGGCGGATGATTTTGGTCTCAGCAGCGGATGGAAGGGAAAACTCGTTGTTCGATTCCATGATAATATCTGAAAAATTTTTACACAATAGTGCGCGATCGAAGATTTTTTCTAGCAACTTTTAAATCATTGACATGATATTTGCCAATTTTTTTGCCATTTTGATCGCCGATAATGACTACCATGGGAGATAATTTTTCGATTATTACTGCTGGTCCTTTGTAACGTGGAGCCAGTTTTGAACTAAAAGCACGAGCTGCATTAGATAACGTGTTATTCGGGTAAAACACATAATCTCCGAGCTGAAGGTTAACGATTTCTTTCCGACTTTTATTATAATATTTGCTTTGTTTCTTGTCAGCTTTGGCCATGAACTTTTCAACTTGTGTGCGAAGGGCATCTACGCGTTTTACGCGTTCTAACCAGTCGGGTATATTCGTGTCAATTGTCGAACTTGTTTTTGTGTCATTTATTTGTTCACCAACGCGTCTTGGTTCACGTGCAAAGTTTAGATAAGCAGGGGAAACTCCTAGTGAGGTGTGTACCGTAGTATTGTACGCGAATTGGATTTCTTCTAAAAACATGTCCCATTCGCGATGATTATCGCCGAGGAGACTTGAAATCATTGTTTTAATATTACGATTAACGCGCTCAACCGGGTTAGATTGCGGATGATAAACGGGTGTGGTTCGTTGAATAGACCCGATTTCTAATAAAAATTTGGTAACTGTTCGGTTTACGAATTCCGTTCCGTTATCCGTAATAAATATTTTCGGTGTCCCCCATTTATTTATTAATGTTGTTAAGGATTTTACTATTTTAGGGCCGTCGGCTTTCGATAGTGGAAAGCATTCTAGGTAACGCGTATAAGTGTCTTCACATGCTAGAATGTATGATTTCCCTGTTTTTGACCGAGGTAATGGGCCTACGATGTCTAACGAAACAATATCCCAAGGCTCGGAAAATTTACGCGGGTACATCAAGCCTTGTGGCGCGGAATTTTTAGACTTGCATTTAATGCAAGTTTCGCACTCGTTAATGAATTTTTTCACGTCTTCACGCATACCGGGCCAATAATAATGCTTGAGAATTAATAAATATGTTTTATTAATTCCTTGATGCGCTGATTGGGGGGTATCGTGATATTTCTTAATTATTGGAATTATTTCTGTTTCGCGTAAGACCTTTTTCCATGCATTATTATCACCAATGCATTCTTTAAGATGATTCGGCTTGTAATAGTATAACGCGTTATCGCTGTCGAGTCTGTATTTGTTGTGACGCGAGGGATTACTTTGAACACGTGCTACCATCTCATCGTACCATGACATGTTACGAGTAAGTAGTAGCTGTGAGGGGGGCGTGTCTTCCGAAAAGTCTTCGTAGAGGCGTGACAAAGTGTCCGGCGCCTCGTTCATAGTACCTTTACGGTGCTCGATTTTCACGCGGTTCGCGGATAATTCTAAAGCCCAACGAGCGAGCCTGCCACGAGGGTCCTTGATACCTTGAAGCCAAATCAAACTCGAGTGGTCAGTTATGACAGTAAACTCGGTGGCTTCAAGATAACAACGAAGTTTCTTGATAGCAAAAATTACGGCTAAGCATTCCTTCTCAGTAGTGGTGTAGTTCAATTCTGCACCTCTGAGTGGTCTGCTCACGCACGTAATTAAGTATTCGCGATCTTCGCCCTTTTGTGTAAGGATCGCTCCAATCCCTGTGTCACTCGCGTCCGTGTATAAAAAGAAGGGTAAATTCGGGCGCGGTGCGTTTAAGGTTAGAGCATTTTTTAATGCATTTTTAACTTCTTGATACGCGTTTTCATGTTCGTCTGTCCATTCCCATGGGACCTTGGGGCTTGCTAATTTATTTAGCGGCCCTTGAACACGTGCGATATTGCGTAAATGTCTGTGGTACCAATTTACGGATCCGTTGAATCGACGTAATTCTTTACGGTTTCGCGGGGTTGGACGCTCGAGAATCGGTTCTATGCGCTTTGGATTCGGTTTGAGACCATCTGTGTCGAGGAGAAGACCGAGATACTCAACGGAAGATTTCGCGAAATGAGATTTTTCTCTATTTATCGACAAACCTGCATCTTGAAGGATTGTGAAAATGATGTCTAACAACAAGATATGCTCTTCAAAAGTCCTTGAGATGATTATCCAGTCATCTAGATACGCGTGAACCTGATCTATATAACGTTCTGGAAAATTATGTTTTCTGATATACTCTACGAATTTTTCTTTTAATCGGTCGGTTAAGGCTTGAAATGTGGCCGGCGCGTTTGTCAAACCGAAGGGCATTCGGACCCATTCAAATTGTCCCTTTCCCGGAATAGTGAAAGCTGTATATTCACGTGATTTGGGATCGATAGGAATGTGGTGGAAGGCGTCGGTGAGGTCTATGGTGCTAATGATATTAGCTTCTGATAACGCGTCTAGTATTGCATCCATACGTGGCAAAGGATAAGCCGACTTTTTCGTATTTTTATTTAATTTACGGTAGTCCATGCAGACTCTTGGCCTGCCGTCCTTACGGTATGTCAACACTACAGGGCTAGCAAAGCGACCGTTACTTCGTACTATAAATTTTTTTTCTAAATATTTGTCTACCTGGGCATCGATTATTTTATTAGCTTCCATACTACGTCGATATGGTTTAATTTTAAAGGGAGTCGGGTCTGTTAACTCGATAACGTGTGTAGTCAAATTTGTGACACCTGTTCCCGCGGTAAATTTAGACAATTTTTCGTCTAGAAATTCATTAAGAGTTTTTCTCTGATCTGTTGTTAATTCGATCAATTGAATTGAATTTAGGGAGTTACGCGAATTATTTACTGAACTCAAAGGGTTTTGTATTTTTGAACCTTTTATGGACCAATAACACCTAGTGGCGTCAATTATGACTTTCCACGTGGTTAAAAAATCCATACCTAAAATGATGGGGGTGGTAAGTCCATCAAGGACTGCAAACCAAACTTCACCATAACAGTCGTTTATTTGAATTTCGAATTTTACTGAGTAACGGGGCGTGGCCACGTGGTCGCGATGAGCGAGCTGTACGCCAGCGCGGGTTATCTCGTCGTGAACGGGTTTACCTTTTAAAAATTGTTTTATTTTATCGAATGATTCTCCTGACATGAACGTGCGATCACTGCCGGTGTCGAGGAGAGCGGGGAATTTATTTTCACCTATCATTACCGTAGTTGAGATAATATGACGTTCTTGAGACGGTGAGGGCAATGCTGGCCCTTTGAACACTTTATTTTTGAATTTATTTTCTAACGCGAATAAGTGGTTTGGAAAATTATTCGAAGGCAATGACGATAGTGAGGAAATGCTCGAACCAGGTAATCGCGTAGGATTGGTGGGGGGAGGTTCCTCATCAGAGTCAGAGGCCGAGTATTCAGTTTCGGATTCCGAGTAGTGACAATTGTCATAGTCGCTTTCAGAATCGCTAGTGAAATTCCCACCGGCATGCGCATTGTGTAGCGCTGATGCATTTTGGGGAAAACACGTGGATTCGTCAGCATTATTATGACAGCTGGTTGTCGGGATTTGTTTGTCTCCGTCAATAATCGATTTTGTAGGGTTTTGTTTACTTTCTATTTTGTGAAAAGGTTCGCCAGGGAGATTTATTCTCTCCTGGCGTCCTTCTCGTTTTTTTGGTTGCAATGATTTTGAGAATTATGTCCGAAATTTTCTGGATAATTACGGTTGGTATTTCCGTACCAGGACTGCATCGGGTGCGGCGGAGGTGCATTCGGCGGAAAATTTGGCTGAGATGCTTGCGCGTTACACTGACAGTTCGGCTGGCAATGTGGGGGAAAATTGGAACCGTGTTGATAATAATCGTGATTCTGATAACCGTGATTATTATAATATCCACGTTGATAACCGCGTCCGCGATTATTATTGCCACCACGATGACCGTTACCACGACCGCTGTGCTTTTGTGATTTTTTATTGTTATCACTGTCTCTACGCGAGGACGATCGACGTCTTTCCCCCTCCTTCTGCGACGAAGCAGAGCTGGAGGAGTATGAAGATCGAGAAGAAGATCGGCGACGCGATTTACTTTTATCGGAGGTTGGTTTTTTTGATTTACTATCGGGGGCTAATTTTGGATTTTCGGTTTTGGAGTTTTCGCCATACAACTTTTGTTCAAGTTTGTTAATTTGGCGTTTATAAATTTCGGTTTTATTCGAATCTTGTTTATTTTCGCTTTTGTTTTGCTTTTTTGTATTTTTTTCTGCTTTTTGCTTCGTTTCATTTTTTGTTTCTGTAGTGGGGGTGGTTGGTAAATTTTCAACGGTAGGGGACGAAGTTGTTTCGACCGCGTTGAGTTGATTTTTACTACGTGTGTTACGAGATTTTTTTGAATCAATTTCCCTTAATTTTGTTGTTAATTGCATTGTTGCAATTTTTTCCTCATATTTCCGGATTTTGTCAATTAAACCGTCGTATGTTAAAAAACTATCGCGATCGAATTGCAAAATTAATTCGGAATGGAGCGCAGAGTAAATTTTATCCAACTGATTTTTTTCGGGGACTTTTTCTTGGAGTTTGTTAAAAAGAGATCCTATCCGAATGACGAATTCGATACCGGTTTCGGTTTCGAGTTGTACCGCGCGTTGTATTTTGTTTGTGATTCTTTGATCATCGTTAGAATCACCAAATGTTTTCCTGAATTTTAAAGAAAATTCAGCCCACGTTTGCCATGTGTTTCTGAATGTAGAGAACCATGTGTAAGCTGTGTCGGAAAATACTTGTGACATTATCGCGAGCGCGTCGTCAGGATTAATGGCTGATACGTTTAATTTACGTTCAAACTCGTCAAGAAATTCGTCCGCGTCTAGTTTGTCGGGGAATTTTAAATCCCATGATTTTATAATTTTATGTAAATTTGTAACATTGTTACGTGTTTGTTGTGTTGGTGATTCAACTTGTAGTGGGGGAATCACTGGTGGTTGGGGAATTAAAGGTTGTGGAAGATTCTGCGGGGGGGTTGGATTAAGGAAATTTGGTAAATCAGTAAATCTAAGAGTGCGATTTGGAAGAGGGGCTCTTATCGAAGGTGTCAAAAAGGATAGTGGGGGTACGGTTGTGTGTGAGGCTTTTGCCGTACTCTGTGATGTTTGAGTGGTGGTAAACGTGGTGGTTACCGTGGCAGTAGTACACGTAGGGGGGAGCGACGTTGGTATGACCACGTGCTCGCCGCTGACGTCATACTCCCAGTGCGAGTCATGCCAAGGCGACTGCACTAGTTTCGCTTGCAACTGAGACACTTTTTGAGTAAGGGCCTCTATCGCTTTTGATGTTTCTTTTCGCAATGCGTTTATTTCGTGATGGTTTTCATCATGCAACGATTGCATTTGTTCGCGTGATTGTTTTAGGTGTTGAGTAAATGTGGTGTACATTTGCTCTTTAAAATCGCGATTTTGTTCTTGCAGTTTCGCTGCGGTTAACTCGATTTGCGAAAAAAATTGTTTGAGTTGGATTGACGTTATGGGTGTTTTTGGATTTTTGCTTTTTCTTCCGCGTTTTGTGTTGAATGTTTTTGATATAGCGCCTAAACCTGGGAGATCAGAACGTGTTTCAGAATTATCGTTTTGTTCGTTGTGTGTGTTACCGGTTTCCGCAATGTTGTTGGGGTCATCGGTGGGGGGTGATTCAGATTGTTGGGTACCGTTGGGTGGTGTTCGCAACATGTTGTTTTCGTTTAGGAGCGCGTTAGTTTTACTTCTTGTTAATATCCCGCTATTTGTGTTTTTATTTTTTCTTGTCATTTTATTTAGTCCATTTTGGATTTTTGGCAAGAATTTGAGAAAAATAATTTTAGTCAATTTAGCTAATTTCAAAAAATTATTAAGTTTTGTATTAGTTAATTTAATGAATTTTTGATTGGATATCTTATTTGTGATTTGAATTTAATTTATTTGGGAAATTTTATTTTGAATTTAATTTGAGAGAATAAAATTTGGGAATTTAATTAGTGAATGACTAGGCTGACAAGAAATTGAGCAGGGCTGTGGTTGTAAACACAGCTGTGTTTATATTCCGTTGTGTGGCTCTCCTTGGGATTATGCGTTTTTGTGTAGTTTCAATTACTACTACGCGTTATCGTACAAAGAGATGTTAATTAATTATATCTCATGGCAATCAATTCGGTATACACAAAAGAAAATATTTGTATATTTTTTTGGCAAAGCGAAGCGGAGAAAAAGGAAAAAAAGAATTTTTATTTCATGTGAAAGAGCAAAAATAAATTGTAATATTTATTTTTATGCTAGAAAAAATATAATTATCGTGTCGAAAAGCAAAGATTACTTACAATTTTGAATTGTTTATTTAATTTATTATTATTTCATTTAAAAGAAGCGAAGCAGTTTTATAAAAGCATTAATTAAATTATGTATTGCTTACAATTAAAGCGAGCATTCATACATGTACACTATGAGCAATTAGCTATTTGAGAATTAGAAGCTTTTTTCTTTTGCTAAGAGTGGAGAGAAAAGAGTGCGAGCTATTATAAATTTTGGTGTGATTTTCATTATTGGTAGAGAATCTCTTTTTATTGTTTTCTTAACGCGTAGAAAAAAAGACTAAATTGTTAATTTTTACGAAATGGCAATTTTTTCATTTAAGAAAGGCTAATTTTCCGCGTCAGAAAATTAATGAGCACGTTTTCCTAGGAAAAAATTTTTGTGTGTTCCGCCATTTTGGGACGCTACAATATAAATCTTCAAGAAAACGTGGTCGGAAAAACGAATTTAGGGAAAAGGATTTTTTTTTTTTTCTTTAGAGAGAAATGTTGACTCGAAAATTAATACACATTTGGTAACAAAAATTTGGGAAAACTCACAGTTTTGGTTTAAAGAAAGAAAAAAGTTTTTATGTTAGTTTAGAAACTAACACACGTTGGGCGCCAAAAATGTGGTGACTTTCCCGAGAATTTAATTTAATTAGTTAAATAGTAAAATAAAACGTGGGTAGGACTCGAGAACGAAGCTCACAAAAGGAGAAGAGATTTTCCACCGCAGAAGAATCACACGCTCTACGAGTGTAAGTCGCCATGCAGAGACGAATAGGCAGAGAAGATAGATCGGACTTACCAATCGTTGAATTGTCGATGAAATTGATAATCAACCAATCGATGGAAACAAATTAATCCCAAGATAGGCTGGTAAATCACTAAGAAAACAGTATTAACAAAAAGAACACAATTTATTTACTTAATATTGGTCGAAAGTAACACTGTATTGTAACGCGTTTTTGGCGGAGAAATTCTCGTGTCGCAGCACGATGTTCGCTCAAGCTCGCCGCAATCTTTTCTCTGGCGTTTCTTTTCAGCGGCAATCCGGCGTCGTCGAACATGAGGTTCGTGTCGTCTGCTAGTGACGCGTACACCATCTACAACTTCTGACGCGCGGGATATTTAAAAATAACAAATAGTAGTAATAATAATATAGATGACAAAGAGTAAGGACAAGTTAAACAAAACAAAATTAACTTTGGGAAACGCGTAATATTTTACCGTTACAGTGAATATATACTGTGAATAAATATATTACTCATTTCGGTCGATGCTGAGCGAAACGAAAAAAATGTGTATATATATACTTATTCATGATTCCGAGAAATGTTTTCAAAATTCAAAGATCAAGATAACCAGATTTTAAACTGTGAAAAGAAATCCAATTAAAGTTTTTATTTATGTCTATCAAACACGTTTTTTATTCGGTTGCAAGAATGTTATTGTTATGAAAGAAATTAAAGTCCATCACACGTGCTATTAACAAATATAAAAAAAGAAAAAAAGAAATGACACATTAATACCAAATACGCTTAGGTTTGATAATACGTTTATTTTCTAAACATAAAATGTATTGTATTCATTTCTTTATGTTTTGTCATTTAGTTGTAAATTTCTTTGAGAAAAAATCTTCTATAGGAAAAAAATTTCATTTTTCTTTTTATTTAAATTTACTAATTTTAATGTAAAAAAATATTAGAATTCAATTCCATTGAGAAATGTTTTAATGTTTTGAAAAATATTTAATGCAAAACTGAAATGATTTTTTACTTCCTTCATTTGAGTCAATGAATAGTTTAATATTATACTTGTTAAATTTAATATTAATTAAGTATTGAAAATATTAATAATAATAATAATAAAACTAATATAATAATAAAAATAATAATAAAAAATAATAATATTAATAAAACTGATAATTCAGGTCATACAAAAATAACTAAACTTTTTTGTAACTATAATTTATTCAATTAATGAAATTTGACATATTTTTTTAGTTTTTTATTTACTAATAATGAAATATTTTTACTAATTGCTGAAGCAAAATATCAGCTAACATTTTACTGATAGTTAATCATTTTTAACAGTTTTGCTGAAAAAGTTAGTAGAAAATCATTTACTGATTTCAATTAGTAAAAACATTTACTAAGCTATTTTTAAGTAAAATTTTTCTTCTTTTCACATTCATATTAAGAGAGTTAGATAGGAAACACGTTCAGATGAATTTCAAGAATTTTAAATAGATTTCTTGAGACAAATAGGAATCTATAAGTATAAAGAAAGTTGTATAATTCATTGCTCTATAAGATTATTTATTGAAGATATTCTAATCGAAACAACTTGTTGCTACAGAACTTCCAACTTTCTCTTAAAAATCATCTTTAAAAGAAAATTTGCATACAAGAACGGTGTTAATTTACAACATAAAAAAAGAAAAAAAGTAAAAAACACCTAAAAACAGTAAAAGAAAAATAATCTATATATACCTAAATAAAATTATACTCTTGTACCTGCGAAAATTAGAAAAAATAATTGAAAGACACAGAAAACCAAATAAAAATCAGCAAGTTTATAAAATTATTGTATTAAATTAATAATTTTTCAATTTTAATTTAATATTTTAATGGAATTTTGTTTAACAAGAATTTCTAAACACAATATTCAAAAGTAATTTAAGATATCAGGAAATATAATTTAAACTCTATTTAGTCCAGAGTATAAATAACATAAATGTTGAATATAGGTAAATATAAACTGGTACAAAAAATGAAAATAAATATAAAAATATAAAAATAAATCCAAATAAGTATATACCCGAAATAGATATAAATAAATATAACCAAAAATTAATAGAATCTGTTAAGAGAAGTTTGAATTTTATCTGATTCTTATATGTCAGGAATATAACATTATAAATTATATTATTTATACTAATGAGATAATTTCACAAGAATAATTTATTAATCGAAAAATAATCAAACCACTTTAATTATTCATATTATACTCTATATTTAAAGATTTACCTAATAATTATTATAAATAATATATATTCACATGTAGTTGATAATGTCATCTTTATGACATAAATATTATAAGTATGGAAAATTAATTAAAAGTTTGATATATAAATTATAAAATGACACATCGACAGAAATTAACTACACAAATATATAGTTATAAAAGAAAAGAATATTTTAAATTCACTTAAAATAAACTTTACAATATAGTTACAAAATTAGTTTCCTCCGACATTTCTCATTTCAATTATCATTTATAAATTATTATAAATCGAAATTACCAATTCTTCTTTATTAAATGTCAAAGGTTTGTGCTCTTCAGAATCTCTTCCATATATTTTATTCTATTATCGGTTTTTTTGCTCTACTTTTCTTGCTTTTAATTATAATTATTATTTACTATTATCAAAAAAACTCATATTATTTGTATATTATTATTATTTTTTTATTCCGTGCCATTCTATTCACTATCATTATTTTATTATTGTTATTATTTTTATCCGTTTTATTCTTATAATTCTTATTTTTTATGCACGTCAATCCTTATTATTTTTCCCTTTTGACATAGTGTTCTTATTTTATTCATTACTTACAATAAAAGTAACCGACAGATTAGCTCAGTCGGATAGATGCCTCGCTTGGCGGTCGTTTAAGGACCAAGGGTATAAGTACCCTTGGTTCGCGCCCATTTGGCTTGGTATTTTTCCGGCACGTGAGACAATCTGAGCGGGAGGTTTGACGTCGAGGTATAATGATGTGCACCGTCGATTATTGTCCGGTACACACCATTAGAACTCGACTGTCGATAAACCGGTTGTACTCAGAGAGGTTTTCTACAGTTTCCCTCTTCTCTGGCGAGAAAACCCATTGACGGGTGGTCCAGGCAAATGCGAATACTCCTAATTTTCAAGTCGCTCTGTAGGCGCAAAACTTAGTATTAGGAAATGTATAATAAGAAATATTATGTAAGAGAAAATGTAAACACACTTGTATAGCTAGATAAGCTTAAGACGGGTGTATAAACCAAATAAATACTTACAATAAAAGTAATTTTATAGAAAAAAAGAGAAAATAATAATATTAAATAATAGAAAGAGAGAAAAAAATAATTTAATAAACTACTTTTATCAACTTTGATATTACATTAGTTGGTCATTTCAGAATGAAATTTTCCCTATAAACAAAGGAGGGGTGTCAATAAACGTATTATATTCACCCAGAGGATTACCTTCTTTAGAAAATTACACCTTTACGTAATAAAAGGAAATTTTTCAAGTTTTAACCTTGAAAATATTGTCCAAATTAATTGAGAAAATTCAAAATAATATTGAAAATAAAGGGGAACATTTTTTCTTTCTATTGAAAATTCTCTCTCTTTCTCAAAAAAAAAAAAAATATAAATGAATACTAGTAAATGAATAAAATAAATAAATGCAATTAAAGAATACTATTCAATAATGATAAATACGAATAAGCAAGAAAAAAGCGCACACTCAATTCTTTTGGATTTAATTCCATAAAAACATTTCTTGACAAATTAGCACATTCCTTGACCAGAACGTGACACGACGAAAAAAAATTACGAGAAAAAGACCTCGACGAAGAATATATATACCTATATATATATATACATTTAGAAGAAAAAAAAAAGAGAAGAATAAATGGAATAAATTTGAAAAATTGAAATATTCTTAACGCCCACATATCTCACTCTCTTTCTCTTGAACAAAGTGAGAAACTGAGAGACAGACACGTTTCAATTTTGTCAACGAATGAAAATAAAACGAAATTTTATTATAACAGAAAAGAACTGACGTGTGGTATTTTTTTATATTCATATATAGACAAGATTAAACTGGTTATAAACTCATACAAATATATCTTTTTATTGGAACGTCTAATAATAACTTGATATGTGTGTCTGTTTTTTATTGGTCGTTATCATTTCGACTCTTATGCGGAGAGAAGAAAAAAAATTGTCTTTGGATGCCTGCCATATGTCTCACTTCTCTATTTACATGAAAAAAGAATTAAATGAATACATAATAAAAAAAGAATGAACTCCTTTTTTACAAACGTTGTCTCTTTCTTCCTATCTCTCTCTCTTACTCTTTCGCTTAATCTCGAGTTATAAACGAAAACGTTTACTTTCACCTTAAAAAAGTACACACACAAAACACATACACAGATGTAAAATGTGATCTTGAAATGACCTTGGCAAAGAGTAGCTCGATGCAAATTAAATATGTATACATACTGCAAATTACTGATATTTACCCATTAACAATATTGACATTTTAATACATATAGTGATATTTACTGTTTTAAAATATATTCAATTTTCAGAAAAAATATACCGTTTTCTTGGAAATACAAATATTCACTGATTTCTTCTTAACTGTATTAACAAAAATTCTCAAAAAAAGTCGAGTAAATTCTATTGATTTTTTTCTGGTTCAATTGTTGTGACGGTTTTTTTTGGTATATGCTATTACAATTACAGTACTATTTACTTAATATTTTTAAAATTACTGTAACCGTATAACCATTTAAATTTAGTTTGTTGTGATTTCGTTTGTATAACGTAGTTTAACTTGCTCGCGAATATTAATAGCATATATATTTTCTTTAAAAGGGATTCTCAACAATAAATTGAAAATACAATTAATTAAATTAACCAATTTTTCCCAGCAAAATTAAATCCAATTTTAATCCACAATTAGGTACTAATTAAAGTAACTGATAATTGAAACAACAGACAATTGAAATTATACGATTATAAGCAAAAATTCATCAGGTTTAGTTTTAACTGTTAGTAATTTGATGTAATTTTCATAAAAATGTAGCTTTAATTCAATAAAATAGAAACATAAAATGAAGTACTAATTACATGAAGAAATATACAAAAATTAAGATGACTAATATTTATCACTCAGTGTCTCAATTAGTAGCAAAAGTGAACAATAAATTGGTACCTCAAATTAATGATATTTAATTAGAGAATTAGAACGAATGGTATATTTTTATTTAAGGCGAAGTCTTAAGTAGTCATAATTTTAATTTGTGGTCTAATTTCAATACAATATTAGTTAATGCTTTGAAAATTTCTTGAGGATAGTTTAATAATCATAGTTTCAATAGTAATGTCTGCAGTTTCAATACGTAGTCAATTGGTGTCTTCTCCCTATTTGATTTTTTATATCGAAAAAGTAATTCTTTCATTTCAATCTTGAGAATTTTTTAAACTCGAAAATTTGGTTCAATAACAATTAAAACACATTAGCCATTTCAAAATAGAAACATTGTTTTCCCAACTTAAAAAAAACCCACAGCAATATTTGCCTTGTATTTTTTTTTCTGTAATAGGCATATGTTTATAAATTCAGTTTTGTGTGACAGAGAAAAAGAGAAGGAGAGAGAAAGATTTTTTGGCCAGGAAGTTCACACATAACACGCGAGTACAAACGTCAAAAAGAAATTGAGCGTCTTGTTTGTGTTCCGCGAAACTAATGAAATTCCCCAAGCAC